AAACCTAAGGCAGTGGTGCCAGAGACGTCACTCGGAGCCTTCTCTGTGGGCACACGTGCCAATGCCCCAGGCTTGCCTCCCATGTGACCCCCTCCTCACCAGCAGCCCCCCTGGAGGAGAGTCACCCCCGAAGCGTGGCCCACGCAGAGCAGTGCAGCCAAGGACATGGCAGCCAGACAGAGTAGACAAGACTCTGCCCTCATGCCCCATCGTGCACAGTTGATGCTGTGGGGCATGGGCAGAGGGCGTGGCCGCCATGGCACTGCTGGGCCATCTGGAGGTGGTGAGTGGCCCTGGGGGCAGGCGGGGCAGGGGGTGGAGTGGGGGCATGGGCAGTTTTGGGGCACTCGGTCTCTAAATGGTTCACCATCACTGACCTAAGGGGAGCATTACGTCCATGTTGGTCCTCAGTCATCCAGGTTGGGGTATCCTGGGATCCTGCGATCCCCTTTGGTGATCTTCTCACAAACAATGGGGAAAACCAGATTCACTTCACGACCACATTGCTAATTTCACAACTGCAGGGACTCGCTTAACAAACAGGGCAAGGAAAGCTGTAGACTGGGACAGGACTCCCTTCACAAATTTCTCAGCGATGTAATTTCTCAGCTCAGCTGTGATCGTAAGTTGAGGACTATCTGTATTTACGATGGTCCGGGGATCCCCTTTTGCAACCTACTGACAAACAAAGTCAACGGGGAAGACAGATTTACTTCACCACCGTGTAACTAACTTAACAAGTGCAGTGTTTCATTTAACAACTGGGGCAAGCAAGGTCGCTAAATGGGGCAAAGCTCACTTAAGATCTGTCTCACTTAGCTAGGGAACCCAAAGGTTCTTTTTTCAGAACCTCCTTTGTTTTTCCTTGAACACATTTCACTTCTCCTCCAAGGAGCTTCTTCAGCTCTGACTGGATGGTGGGGAAAGGAAGGATTTATACTCCTTGCAGACAGCTGGTCATTTGCCTCCTTTTAGAGAGTCCTTGGGGCCACTTGGAGGTTTATCTGGGTCCTCAGGGTCACCTGAGTTGTGCAAATGGATGTGGAGCCTTCTTGGTACTGCTGCAAGGACTGTGTTGTAGAGTTGTACTTCCAGCAGGATGTTTTTCTGCCTGGGTCCCTTCACTGTGGAAGACAGGCGCAGGCTGTTGGAGATGTGTCTGTGTTGTCTGCCTCTCACACTGAAGCGCAAATGGTTCGTAGAATCTGCAATGTTTTCTAGAAATCCGTTCATCCTTCTGCACCATCCGAAGGGAATCCATCCCAAAGTGCACAGCTAAATGTCCATGGAAATACTCCATCATCCAGGTCATAAGATAAGGAAAGGTAAGGTAAGGTAAGGTAAGGTGAGATGAGGTGAGGTGAGGTAAGAAGAGAAGAGAAGAGAAGAGAAGAGAAGAGAACCTTTATTGTCATTTTTTTACTGTGGGCACAACGGCACACATCAAAAATGAAATTTACTGCCCGCTCTCAAAGTGAAACACATACATGACACACACCTAAACATACTATGAACAACATATGTATAGACCCACACCCCTACATATATGTAGCAAATAAATATTAAATACTGTCCATCTTTGAAGGCCTTCTTGAGGTTGGAATAAGTGAGATCCAGTGTATTGTCCCCTCTGGATGCAAAGTCCACCTATCGATGGAAATGTGGCAGGGTGGCTTTCAAATCCACTTGGTTAAAGTCTCCCACTGCAATAAATGCACCCTCTGGGTGAGTAGTTTGTAAGTCACTGATGGTCTGATAGAGAACCTTCAGGGCCTCTTCTCTGTTTGCATGGTGGGGGGGCACACACAGCTGTGATAATGGTAACAGAGAATTCTCTAGGAAGATAGAACGGTCTGCATTTGATGGTCAGAAGCTCCACATCTGGGGAACACAGACTTGAAACCACCTTGGCATTATTACACCATCTTTTACACCATTGCCCCATTTCATTCACCAAAGCAAAGACTCTGGAAAGGAGAAGCAGTCGCTGAAATCACTTTGATGACGGAATTCAGTCGTGCAATGTGACAATCTGAGCTGAGGAAATGGGCTTTGAGGAAGCCATTCTGTCTTCCAAACCTGTGGATGTCACCACTAGCAAATCACTTTTCCTAGAGGTCTTTCTCAAGCAGATAAACAAACCCCAAATCAACCATCAATTCTTCCAAGCTTCACTCCAGCGCTTGGCCATAAGTGGAAGTCGCCGGAGGTCTCTGCCCATCTGCGGGTATAAAGTTACCCAACAAAAGAGTTTGAGGCATCCCTTGGCTGGATTCACCTCCTTGTGGCTGGCAAGATGGAGATCTTCCATGCCATCCCAGAGAATTGGACTTTGAAAATGCAAAAAATAAAAAAAATCCACTTTAAACCTGCGGATTTTCCTTCCATCTTTCCAAGAGGATGGATAATTGGTGGTTTGCTTGGCGGCCTTGAAGACGCAGATTTATTTATGTAATTGTCTCTCTGGTCTGAGACCTGCTAGTTTCCCCTTCTCTGGATTCCACTCTTACAGGGAGCTTCTCCAAAAGTGGAAATTGGATTTCATTTAGGGATCCCCAGAGGCAAGTAATCCTACGCTAGTTTTCCCCCAACTGAACCTCTTTCCCAACGGATATGAGTCAGCCCAAAGCGTAGATGGAGACTCAAGAACTCTTGAACCCAGACCTCTGAGTACTGCCAAGCCTCAACCGAAACCATTTAAAAAAAAAAAAAAAAGACAGACAGGCAGCGAGGCTTTTACGACAATTCACCCACCCAATAATCTTTTTTTGCAACAACCCTCCTCTAGCAGTGACTCCTAACTGATGGTCTGAAAAATTAAGAAGGTGCATCAGCATCAGGATTCTTTAAAAAATCCTCAAATAGCTGTTGCTAATAATTGCTAAGAGGCAATTTTGTGTCCTTTTTTCCCCCTTGTCATCCATATTTATAGTGTGAAGAGATCTGTTTATTAGCTTTGAGATCAATAATATCATAGCCACATCATCATAGCAGCAAAAATCCTTGGAAAAGGAAGGTTACCAACAGTAGCAAAAATCCATTTCAGTGTTAAATGAGGTAATGTTGACATTTTCCAGTCTTGGGGAGGGGAGGAAGCTGGGAGGACGATGGGATTGTGATTATGGACCAGGCCTGTATAATGGAGGAAAATTAAACCATCTGTGTATTTCCAAATGAGATACTTGTTTTCATCCACTGCATGGTAGTACATTTACAGTGAAAATAAAACACCGTTATTTTTTTTTCTTAGAATTTGGAAGAAGACGTCTCAAACCACTGGAGACATTTTTCTAAATTAAACTGAAATTCACTAAACAGATGAGACCAAATTCATGGTTTCTAGAAGCTGTGGCCTGCTGGGGCCTTGGCAGAAATGGCTGCAATTATGTGGGGTTTTTCCCTTCTAAACCAGGGGTAGGCAACACTGGCTCTTTTATGACTGGTGGACTTCAACTCCCAGAATCCCTCAGCCAGCCTGGCTCTGCTTGGAAGCCTCTCCCTTTCCCCTCAGCGTGGCTGGCTGAGGAATTCTGGGAGTTGAAGTCCACCAGTCACAAAAGGGCCCAGGTTGCCCACCCCTGTTCTAAACAAGAGACGCTGGGCTTGTAGCCTTGAAGGACTCTGGCTGAAAAATCAGTCCCAATTCTGAATTTCGGGTTATATTAGTCCAAAGAAGACTTGAGTGATTTTTAGAAGAGGCTGAGGAAGAGTTTGTTTGTTTACAAAAGGGAAAAAAATGGCTTATATGCCACATAACATTGTTAGGCCCCAGACCTGCTACCTTTCTAGTTTTATACCTTTTTCTTTTTCTTTTAGGGCTGAATGGCAAACAGGTTCTTTAACAAGAGACTTAAGGAAAGGGAGGAATCAGCTTGTGTCTATTGGAAAATGTTCTTTTTGTTTGGATAGGTTTTATCTCATGTTTTATCATTCTTTCAAGTTCTTTTTCAATAGCGTGTATCAATCAGGTGGATTCCGTTTTTCTCGAATAAGGATGGATACAATTTTCGATGGCGTTTAATTTTTATTTACACATTACTCCTCACGTCAGCAGGCTTACTGAACATAAAAATAAAATAAACAGTAAAGAGGACATCTTTCATAATCATAGCGAACCTTCAATCTTGGTTGTAAGTTGTGACAGTCATAAAGTGGGTCACTTGTGGCCGTTATTAAGCGAACACTGTAGTCATTAAGCGAAGACCAGAGTAATTAGGCAAACCCATTGGTTGCTATGGGGCTTTTTTTTTTTTTTTTGCTAGGAATTGGAAGCAAATACCAGTTTGTGCCAAAGCGTAAATTGTGGCCACGTGGCTGTGAGGGAGGACAAATGGCTGAAAATGGAGTCCGGGTGCCAAGGTCCCAAAGGCGGTCAGAGGGTCGCAGAGGGAGGGGGGACACTGGACCTCTGAAACGGGGTCCTGGGAAGGCATTTTGGGGGTGGGGGGACCTTCCCTTGCAACTCCAAGCCGCCTTAAGGGCTCCTTGCACAGAATATTGGATTTCCCTTCACGGAAATGGCTGAAGAGTTCGTGAAGCTTCTCCCTCCCCTTTTTTTCAGGCAGTCCTGATCTACGGATGAAAAGAAAAGGCAAAAATGTTGTGTGTTTTGTCCTGCTTGGACTTTGCTGGCCAGAAGGAAAAGGAGGGGGTCTCCATCGAAAGAGAGGGAATGGGGGGACCTCGGCCATGAGGGGAACCAAAAGGAAAGAGTCAGGAAAAGAACCGGCAGAAAGCTGTCCTCCTGGGTCTCACTCCAGGGAGTGACTTAGTGGAGCTTCCCTGCTAAGGGGCAGTCTACCTTGGGAGATCGAGGCCTCTGGGTTCCAAAGAAAAGTCTGGCAACACAGAGGGAATGAGATGGTTTCTGGAATCAAAGGGATTGTGGAAAGAAGGCTTAAGTTGGTCCCTTTCTTTACCTTTCTTTTTCTCTCTTTCCAGGGCTTTTTTGTTCTGTTTTCCTCGGTTTGCAAGGAAAACAAAGGCAGAAGATGAAAAAGCCAACCTGTCACTCTGTCAGAAATGCGACTACCTTTAAAAGATTGTATATGCAATATCCAGAAAGCAGATACAGCAAATTACTATTATATAATCATGCTAAAATCAGATGCAAAAAATATGGTTGCAACACCTTTAGCAAGTACTGCTAATTCTCTGTGTGGAGATGCTCTTTCTTTTTCAACAACATTTACATTGCAAAATGTGTCCAGTGACTTTGAGAACAACACTGAAGTTTATAACTTGATACAGAAAAAAGAGTTCATTGGTGTCGATAAGAAGAAAAAATCAATTAAGTCAAAGGCTATTACTCCAAAGAGATTACTGACGTCTATTACTACTAAAACTAATCTTCTTGCACCAGCTATGACCAGTCCAGGTGGACCTAATTCTGTGCGCACAAGTAACTTTGTTCTTGTTGGTTCACATACAATTTCACTGTCTTCATATTGGACTTATCCAGATGATGAAAAGAGAAAGCATCCATTGGGCTCCATAAATTTGGCAAACTGCACTAATCGCCAGATTGAACCAGCCAACAGAGAATTCTGTGCTCGTCCCAATACCTTTGAGCTAATTACTGTTCGTCCCCAGAGAGAAGATGATAAAGAAACCTTAGCCAGTGCAGAGACACACTCTGTGTTACCAAGAACTGGTTATCAGCTGATACTAAAGATGAGCGTAATCTTTGGATGCAGAAGTTAAATCAAGTGCTTATTGACCTTCGCATGTGGCAACCTGATGCTTGCTATGTCCCTATTGGAAAACCTTGAATTATGTTTTCTCCTTAAAGCTTGCTTTAAGAGCTAAATATAAATGATGTTATTTTTAAATGAGTGATATGTAAGCAAAATTAATATAAGCTGAATGGTGCAATATTAAGGCTACTCAGTTAAATAGCAGATATGCAGCTTCCACAAATGTTTTCTACTGGTATCACAATGTGCTATGATGTAGCTGCATTTGCTTTGAAAAATTAATAGACGTGCACTTCCTTTACATGATGTGGCTTTAAATAAACACTAATACTTTAAAAAAAAAAAAAAAAGCCAACGGTCGGATTTCTCCAGTCTGTCCCAAGAAAAGAAAAGTAACCTACTTTGTGAAGAGGGAGCCGTGTGGGAAGTGGAGACTCTGTTTTCCTTTCTTTGCCAGGAAAATGAAAGCAAAGGAGCCAAAAGTTGATACTGTAGTTGCTCCGATCTCCCCAAAGAGAAAACGAGAGACCTACATAGTTGACATGACCCTGGTCAAAAGGGAGCCGTGTGGTGAGTGGACACTCTGGGTAGGGCTCTTCCTGACCCCCCCAGCACCCCTCCTTCTGCAGCTCCTGCAGGTATCTCTGCGAGGGTCCGTCCTGGATCCCCAAAGGGGGCTTGATCCCCGAATTGCCCTCGTAGAGGGAGCAGGAGTTGCCCAAGGCCTCCGTGCGAATCTCTCCCCTGGCCAGGAGAATCCACCAGCTCCGTGAAGCACAAAGAGCTTCTGAATAGAGGGGATGGGGTCTCCAGGGGGAGAGGGCTGCAAGGAAGGCTCTGATTTGGGGTGGGGTTCTTCATCTGGGGGAGACCTGGACGTGGCGCTAATACGTGTCTCGATGGGCCAAAGGGAAGGTGGGGATGACTCTGCAAGACCCTTTGGCACCAGGAAGGTTGAGGTCTCTCTTTCTGCCTCTCTCTTCCAGCTCCCACACCCCCAGATCCTCAACCTGGAGGGGAAGGAAGAAGAAATCCTAATTAATGAAGGTAACTTTCTTACTGATAATGTAATAAATGAAGATACTTATGGCTGGCCATTGTGCTGATATGCACAGGCTTCCCTTCCTCCTTTCTTTAATTTGTTCCCCCTTTTTTCTCCCCCAATGCAGGAGATTTATTTATTGAAGACCTCTAACTTCCTCCCCACCACCATCCCCCCCATCCTCCAAAGCCCCTGCAGGCGGGACAAGGAGCGAAGGAGGGAAACGGATCAAGGAGAGAAGCAACCTGGAACCAAGGAGGAATTTCCTGACAGTGAGAACAATTAACTGATGGAGCAACCTGACTCCAGGGGTTGTGGCTGCTCCAACACTGCAGGTTTTTCACCGGACACTGGACAGCCACATGTCTGACATGGTATAGCTGCCGGAAGTCCAAATCTTAAATCCAGAGATGGATGAAAATGATAAAGTTTTGATTAATGAAGGTAACTTTCTTACTGGCTTGATGATCTCAGTCCTTTCCTTAATTTGTCCCACTTTTTTCTCCCCCAATGCAGGTGATTTGATTTTAGAAGATATTTCAGTTCCTCCCCACCACCATCCACCACCATCCTCCAAATCATCCGCAGGCAGGTTGAATCTCTCTCTTCCAGCTCCCAGAAGTCCAAATCTTAAATCCAGAGATGGACGAAAATGATGAAGTTTTGATTAATGAAGGTAACTTTCTCACTGGCTTGATGATGTCATCCGGACAGTCCAACTGACGCTCATCCGTGTGAAAATGGCTCCAAAGATGTAAGCAGGGCTGCTGGGCTCTGGGGAACCTTCCCCATTTTGTGGCCAATTTCTCAGAGGAGGGGGATATTTTGCAGAGGAGGGGGGGGAGCAGCCAGGAGCAGAAAGGAACAGCTGTCTGCAGGAGTCTAAATCTTTTCATTCTGGAATGAGAAGCGAAAGCTATTCAAAAGAAGACAAGAAACTCCAGTCCAGCAAAGGAGATCCATGGGGAAGGGGGGAGGCAAAAGGGTTCCAATTTTATCTTTAGTTCCTGATTGGGGCTAAAAGACCTGGTTGAAAACTTTCCAATTGGTTTAACCAAAGTTAAAAGGGAATGAGCTGGTTTCTGGAATCAAAGGGATTGTGGAAAAAAGGCTTTAGTTGGTCCCTCTCCTTACCTTCCTTTTTTTCTCTCTTCCAGGGCTTTTTGCATGCTGGGGTGTTTCCCTTGTTTCAAAAGAAACAGCAAGGAAAATGACCCCAAAGCCGATACAGCAGCTTCTCCAGTCTGCCCCCCCCCCAAAAAAAGAGTCACCTACATTATAGAGATCACGCTGGTCAAGAGGGAGCCATGTGGTGAGTGGAGACTTTGGATCGGGCTCTTCCTGACCTCCCCAGCATCCCTCCTTTATCAGCTCCTGCAGGTATCTCTGCGAGGGTCTGTCGTGGATCCCCAAACAGGGCTTGATCTCCGAATTGCCCTCCTAGAGGGAGCAGGAGTTGTCCAAGGCCTCAGTGCGAATCTCTCCCCTGGCCAGGAGAATCCACCAGCTCCATGAAGCAGAAAGAGCTTCCAAATAGAGGGGATGGGGTCTCCAGGGGGAGAGGGCTGCGAAGAAGGCTCTGATTTTGGGGGGTTTTCTTCATCTTGGGGAGACCTGGACGTGGCGCTAATACGTGTCTCGATGGGCCAAAGGGAAGGTGGGGAAGACTCTGCAAGACCCTTTGGCACCAGGAAGGTTGAGGTCTCTCTTTCTGTCTCTCTCTTCCAGCTCCGGGAAGTCCAAATCTTAAATCTAGAGATGGACGAAAATGACGAAGTTTTGATTAATGAAGGTAACTTTCTTACTGGCTTGATGATGTCAGCCGGACAGTCCAACTGACGGTCATCTGCGTGAAAATGGCTCCCAAGACGTAAGCAGGGCTGCTGGGCGCTTGGGAACTTTCCCCATGACCTGGATTCTGGAATCAAAGGGATTCTGGAAAGAAGGCTTTAGTTGGTCTCTTTCCTTACATTCCATTTTTTCTCTCTTCCAGGGGTTTTTTTGTTCTGTTTTCCTTGTTTTATGACAAAAACAAGGGCAAGGGACTAAACAGCTGACACTCTGGTTTCTCCAGTCTACCAACCGGAGGGCAGGCGAAAACACGTCACACATATTCTGAACGTTGAGCTGGCGAAGAGGGAGCCTTGTGGTGAGTGGAGACTCTGGATTGGGCTCTTCCTGACCCCCTCAGCACCCCTCCTTCTGCAGCTCCTGCAGGTATCTCTGCGAGTGATCTTAGACCTGGAAAAGGACGAAAAGGAGGAAATTTTGGTTAATGAAGGTAGCTTCCTTACTGATAAAGTAATAAATGAAGATACTTAGGGCTGGTCATTGTGTTGCTATGCACAGGCTTCCCTTGCTTCCTTCCTTCCTTTGTCTCACTATGATCCTATCCTCTCAGCCCTGGTCCTTCTCTCTGTTAAATGACCCAGACCCAGTTCCATCTCCTGATGTTTTAGCCTCCTGCCCCCTCATTTTTTGGTTATATTTCTTATGTATGTTTTTTGTTATATTTTATTATACTTGTTATAGAAATAGGTTCAAAATGATGTACATATTGTTAATATTGAAATAAAAACATTTGAAATATTTCGCCCGGTCCTCTTTTGTCATCCTGGCCTTTTTCTTCAGAAAATGTGCAAGTGCCCCTTTTCGAGTGTTACTAGGGGGTGGAAACCATCCCAACGTCTTTTGCCAAGGAAGGAACTTCCACGGATCAGAGACCTCGGCCGTCACCACAGTGGAGAAAGGACTTGTGGGTCTGTTGTGCAATCTCTGCCTCAGGGGAAGAAGAGGCCCCGAGACAGCCTCAGTTCCGAATTAAATTGCATATTCTCAGAAGAAATGCTTCGTTTGCAGGCCAGGCCTTCTGAGCAGGCCGTGATGCTCAGTGTGGTGTGTGGTTTGTCTAGGGGGGCTCTCTGCGCACCGCACTCTGCAATTCCCAAGGCGGCTGTCATTCTCAACCCGTATTTGTCTAAATAAGCCTTGATTTGGCCCCATCATCATTTCATTGTGTAGCGCAGGGGTGTCCAAGCTTGGGAACTTTAAGGCTTGGGGACTTCAACTCCCAGAATTCCCTGGCTGGGGAATCCTGGGAGTTGGAGTCCACAAGGCTTAAAGTTGCCATATTTGGAGACCCCCTAACCTCGATGGGGAATTCTGGGAGTTGGACTCCAAAGGCCTTAATGTTGGCAAGCATGGAGACCCCCCCAGTGGAGGGATTCAAACACCTGAACAACCGGTTCTCATATTTGATGCAGGCCTGGGCCTCCGATGCATATAACGGACTTCCGGAAGTGGTATCCTTGCACTTCCGGTGGGCTGTTCTAGGCCTGGGAGGACTCCTAGAGGCCTTGACTGGACTTCCGGAAGCCAGCCCTTTCTCCCAATTAATAATAATAATAATAATAATAATAATAATAATAATAATAGTAGTAGTAGTAGTAGTAAAGTTGGAAGAGACCTTGGAGGTCATCTAGTCTAACCCCCTGCTCAGGCAGGGAACCCTACACCATTTCGGACAAATGGCTGTCCAGTCTCTTCTTAAAAACTTCCAGTGTTGGAGCATTTACTGCTTCTGGAGGCAGGTTGTTCCACTGGTTAATTGTTCTCACTGTCAGGAAGTTTCTCCTTAGTTCCAGGTTGCTTCTTTCCTTGATTAGTTTCCGTCCATTGCTTCTTGTCCTGCCTTCAGGCCCTTTGGAGAATAGCTTGACTCCCTCTTCTTTGTGACAACCCCTGAGATATTGGAACACTACTATCATGTCCCCTCTGGTCCTTCTCTTCATTAAACCAATACCCAATTCCATCAACCTTTCCTTATATGTTTTAGCCTCCAGTCCCCTAAACATCTTTGTTGCTCTTCTCTGTACTCTTTCCAGAGTCTCAACATCTTTTTTACATCGTGATGACCAAAACTGGATACAGTATTCCAAGTGTGGCCTTACCAAGGCCTTGCAAAGTGATATTAACACTTCACGTGATCCTGATTCTATTCCTCTGTTCATGCAGCCTAGCACTGTGTTGGCCTTTTTGGCAGCTGCAGCACACGGCTGGCTCATATTTAGGAGATTGTCTACTAGGACTCCGAGGTCCCTCTCACAGTAATTAAGGTCCATTGAGCTACAGTAAGGTGACCAACTTACTAAAGGAGGATGGTTGGTCACCTTAGTTACAGGTCCTCCCAAACCGGTGCGAACCGGCTGAATCCCACCCCTGGGCCCTCCCTGGTCTAGAGGGCTGGCTGGGGAATTCTGGGAGTTGGAGTCCACAGGCCTTACCGTTGCCAGGTTGGGAGCCCCCCTG